CAAATTATAGAGAATTACAAAAATGCAGGCATGTAAAACAGAACTCCTAAACTATTAGACGAACCATTTCTATTTCAAAGTGATTTGTATTGGGGTGTTTGGGAGGGGTTGGGGGGTTGGATAGCTTATGTATATATGCATAACATCTAGTGTTTTAATGGGACAATTATTTCACAGGAAAATAAGATACAGGGTGACACAACTCAGGTTTTCACCTACAAAACCCCAAAAAACTGATACAGATGTTTGGTGTAGAGATGTAAAAAGAACTGGAAACTAACTGGTTGCAGGAACATATTTACTTGCAACTAGGCATTTTGGGTAAAAGGTAATGTAACTAGTAGGTACACAGTTACTATTAGGTGCAATAAATAAGACCTATGTAACTTAGGTGTAATGAGTTACTTTCAAAATTTAGTTTTCAGATGTTTTTAGATGCTTTCCATTCTACCAGGATTTTGTTTGACATTTTATGGCCTTTTGTCTTTTGAATGTAATATTCCAGCCTCTCCATGTAAATGCTCATTTGTCTCATTCTCACACATGAGTGTAAGAACATTTTTTCCTTGCCTGAGAGAGGATGAAACAGTTTACATGGGTCCTGACAAATTTTCACGCGAACAATAGAGATTTTTGTGCAAATAATTCAAATATATCAAATAGCACAAACTATTAGTTTCTGCATTATTTCACTGACTTTTAAGAATAGAAAGCTTTCAATGGGTTGTTTGTGGACATGGGTGCTTCATATTTGTATCCAGGGGATACAAACACAAAGGGATCCATTCCCGCTCTCCAGAAGCAGCTCAGTCCACTCACTGGGCTCTGCGCAGCACGCACGTCCATCAGCATAGTACCAATTGCGGAAGTAGTCCAGACAACACTTGCCTGCCGCTGACCACTCCAGTGAGGAGGTGGAAAGACAAATTTCTGAGTGTTCAGCTGTGGGGAGAGGCGGGGCAGAGACAATAAGACTACTTCTGCGATTGGTGCGATGACAATGTTGATGGATGTGCATGCCATCTGGAGCCTGGTAAGTGCACCGGGCTGCTTCTGGAGGGAAGAAATGGGTTACTGTGGCACGTGTGGTACTGCACTTCAGAGTGGACCGTTGGTCCAGATAGGTGGGATAAAAATCAAATAAATAAATAAATTCATATTTGTATCCAGAGTGCCCATGCCTAGTTTTTTGCATCTTTTTGAACAATCACTTAAACTTTCTGAACTTGCTGTGCATTTGTTTTGCTTCAAAATGAAAAGGCAGCTAATTTTGCGCAGAGACATTCTGTGTAAATCATGGGTACCTTGAAAAAGAAACAGAGCTCCTTGCCTTCCTCTCACAGTGGAGATGTCGAATCATGTGGGGCTGAACATTTCATAACAAGGTGCTTCATAGCATTCAGTCTAAACTGATGAGAATGAGGAATTTAGCTAGTATTCTTGTCATCCTTTATTTGGTGTAGATTTTGAGGGAAAATAGACAGTGTTGGATTTGGGGGTGTTAACTAGGAACCCTAATTTGATCTATTAGTTGCACATTTGGATGGCACTACCAAAAATGGAGTTGATGGAACAAAACCTTACGAAAGTTCTGTAGAACTTTGACATAGAATCTGAGGAGATATCGAAGTTCACAGTTCATCATTACTACATGTAGCTCCCTTGGTGATACACTGTGACAAACTTCTAAAACATATTGAAGATAAAATTATTTGCCTCCATCTTCACGTAGACATGGCAATAAATGTAACTCTCTTTGAGCCTCACGATGTGGACATGGTGTTTGGTTGATGGATGTGTTGAGTACTCACAACATTTCTCATTCTCTGATTTTTCTGAATCTTGCCACTGAGGCTTCTCCTTGCATTAGCAATACAGTGGTGCCTCACAAGACGAAAGTAATTCATTCCGCGAGTAGTGCTGTCTTGCGAAATTTTCATCTTGCAAAAAGCGGTTTCCCATAGGAATGCATTGCAATGCATTCCTATAGGAACCTCGCAAGACAAATGAATTATTTTCATCTTGCGAGAAATCGGTCTTGGGGGGGAAATCATCTTGCGAAGCATGGCCATAGAAGAAGCCATATTGCAAGGCACCACAGTGATCGCAAAAACCATTAGTCTTGCGGGTTTTTCATCCCCCGAGGCATTCATCTTGCAAGGCACCACTGTATTTCCAAGCCCAGAAGCTGGTCTCATTTCCTAGATATTCTTTGTTGTTTTGTTTTTCACCTGTTGTTGTGTGCAGGAAACTCTATATCCTGCACACCTTAATGCCTTTTCCAGAGAATCCTGCATGGGAAAGATTATGTGGAGGAATTGTAATTGTCACACACTGCACAGTATGGCATCTCACTCACCCCAGAAGGGATGAGGAGGAGACTTCTTAGAAATTCTACAAAATTTGCTGTGATATTTAGGGGAGGGGCAATCTCCCATAAGGAAATCTCACTGTGAGGAGAAGACTGAGGTCTCTCTCTCTCTCTCTCTTGATTTCTCTTTACCAGTGAGAAGCTGCAAGCTTCTTTCATTTGGTTATGTCTGGCTATCTGTTTGTATGTGTGATCCTTGCTATTCGTGGTTTATCTAATAGGGAGGCAGAGATCTATCAGGTTCCACAAGATGCTGAATTCCTGTTCAATCAAACATATGATGCATTTTAAAAGAAACAGCAATCAGGCCAGTCATGCAATAACCTAATACAGACCCAATGGATGAAAGCATCTACAGACAAGCTGCCAAAACCCTCCCTGGGCATGGTGCTCAAGCAAGGAATTGCAGTTCAGAGGGATAGCCACATTAATCTGTTGCAACAAAAGTAACAAAAGAGTATTATCACAGCCTAAAGGCTAACACATTTATTATAACATGAGTTTTATGTATTATATCAGTGGAATGTATGTCATGTTGTAGTAAAGCTGGAGTAAATTATAAAGGTTGACAATAAATCTGTTATATCTTTACGATGCCACAAGACTTTAGGCCAATTTCCATAAAGGGGAATGTTGCCACCCTTGGCTTTCGTGGACTGTTCCGTGGCTTTCACACCATCAACCATGATATGGCTGGCTGTTTTGGCATCGGTCCAGAGATGAAATCTCTCACAGAAGCTTGGGAATGGCAGGGAAGGCTTTTTCAGCCACCACTAACATAGTGGGGAACTGTCTTCACATCCCTTATTATCAATGAGAAAGAAAGATGAGACAGGAAAGGAGGGTTCAGGAGGAAAGTTAAGAGGCAAGAGAATTGTCTTGGTCATATTGTAGTTGACATGGTGTTGAAGGTACACCCTTGTAGAAACATCATGGTCAAAGCAGACAAGACAGGGAACTTCACAGAGTAAGGGGCAATAAAACATTCTTCCCAGAGATATTGTTCAAATGTGCTGGTTTGCAAGATCAATGTGCAAACAGAAATCCTTGTTTCCTTCTGGTGACTGATCACTGGATAAAAGCAACCTAATCAGCAACTTGCAAAGTTCTGAGATACATTACTCTATAAATCAGCCTCATGTCTAACTGTGATGCTCCCCATCTTGTCTGCTTGGGCCCTTATATGTGATTGGATGGAATTAGAATGTTCTGGGGCATTGAGGTAAAACCAGGGTATATGAGAAGGTTATCCAAGCACAGCATATGCAGAGAAAATTGAAGGCAGCCAGGTTCAGAGAAGGGGGTCTAGGCAGGAGCATCTAGACCCTGCAGTAGTATAGAAAATTCAGTGGACAAATCCAAGACATTTTTGTGAATTTTCCAGATATCGTTAGGGCCACTGTAACCTTCTTAGTGGCATAGTGTTGCCATACATACATATGGTTTCTATCATATGACAGTAACATTAACTGAATACACTGATATGCCAGACTGAAAATAAAACAGATGTGAGCTGCAGGCAGATGCAGCCCTTTTCTTTCTAAGGTTACTCTATCCCAGCCCTTGGTTCTTCTTTGAAAGTTCAAAAGGGAGGTGTGGCATTATTAGGTGGAAAAGGGAAAATATTGGAGAAGCAAAAGGTGGGGGGGGGGAATCTTTCAGAAGCAGCATAAAAAGAGGTGAGCACGTCTTTTGTCTGCTAGGACTGTTATTGTTCATTTTAGCCCTAATTATGACATTCCAAAGAGAAGACGAGAGAAACTTTATTGATGATGCAAGCTAAGTGCCTTGTGGAAATAATTCTGACAGGTTGATAGGCTGTCTCTATCTATCCAAGAATGACCTGGGGTTCCTAAGCAATATACTAAGCATTGAAAACAATCTACAAAGCCAGTTTTTTTTAAAAAAAAAAAAATCTGTGTTCCATCCAGATTAGAGTATTGCACAACAGAGGAAGCAAGCAATGCTAATTTTTTGTGACTTCTACACAGTCCTGCCGAAATGTAATTTCTGGACCAGGAGTTTCCATGATAAGGATGCCACAATTGAGAATGAATCCAATTATTGCTTAATCACAATAAAGACTAACGTGTCCTAAATACAAAGCGAGAAGAAAAGGCATATTAAACCTTCTTGCAGAACAGTCGGACCATTTTCACACAAAGTCTTTAAAGAAGCAGAGGAGGAAAACCAAGGAAAAGCCACCCATTATCACAAACTACTTCCTGAGGACCTTCAAGCGGGAGTTGCTCAAATAACAAAGCCACCCCAGGAACTAGGAAAATTAAACTGTGGTTATTATTACGCACCATCACCTAACCTTTGGTTAGGTAAAAGTGTCTGTCCTGCTCCCCTGCTCTATGCCTCTGAGGCTGCCAGGTATTTAAAATCAGCAGTTGTGGGAAGGAATCGGAGAACCAAGTCAGAAATAGACTGAGCCTGACATAATGTATGTAATGAATGCACTCTAGCTCTGTGTACATATGAAATACTATTATAATAATTACTCACCACTAGGAAAAAGTGCTTCGAATGTGAAAATATAGAGAAAATAATTAAAGGCTGTTTTGGTGAAAGGATATAGGTTCAGTCTCCCTCACAGATGTAACCAAATCTGACACTGACATACTTTTGCTGATGATACGGAGTAAGGTATCTTTTCCTTCCTGCATGTGTGGAGATTGGAGACAGTGACCTCTGGCAGCTGTTAGCAATCCAGCGTATAATGACAAGCTCACTCCATAGAAATGAAGCGACTGCCCAGGACAATTCGCTGACCTCAGCAGTCCTGCCAGAAGACACAGGGAATATCTGGCATTCAAACTCTCCAGTGACTGGAGAGTTTTCTTCCTCCGCCCCCCTTCTGATTAAGTGCAGGAATGGAAAAGGAGCTCAGTGATGGTCTGCATTTCCCAGCCTAGAGACCAGCAATGGGACAAAGCATACCTTGCCTTCCAAATGAGGACATTTCTGAGGTTTAAACTACATTTCTGTGGAGAAAAGAATGTACAGAAAACTATGTATACACTTAAGAAACATGCATTAGAAAATCACATATTTGAAAATAATGCACACCCAGGCACACTTTAATCCATGGGAAAAATACGAAATGTGTATATTTTTTAAATGCATACAAAAAGTGCACACAAAAATATGCATGCATTTCCATATAGGAAGGGGGGAAATGCAACCCTATACAGAACTGGGATGGAATAGCATTGCCAGTGGGATTCTGAGAAACACAGTAGAATGAAAGTGGCATATTTTCACATTCCCATTAAATTATGAACTGAGTTTTGTGCATATTAAAACAAAGTCTTGTGGCAGGAAATTAGGAAATTAGCAGATGTATCATGACACAATGTTTCATGTACAGTATCAGAAGAACCTGTTTTATCACATGCATGTTTTCAATGGGCAGGTGTAGAGCAGGTGTGTGAAATAAAAAGACAGGAAACGTGAACACAAGCACAGAGCAAAAGCATGTAAACAGTGGGACAAAATTATCATGAAATGGAAAAAGTGATCTGTGACAAATCACAGAATGACTTTGATGTTTCTGCCGATTTCTGCCCTGAAGTATTGTTTTCCATAAGTCCTTCTGATTCTTGCCTTCGCCAAACCATATTTGGAAATGAAATTGGCTTCCTTAAAGATTTGTTTCTCCAAACAAAAGGCAGCGTTGCTAAATCTGGATTGCAATGGCACGGATGCTGGAAATGATCTTTAAAAGGCAATATGTATATGTTCTGATTTTTCTTTCCCACAGAGCAGAATCCCAAGTCTAGAAATGCCATTCCCAGACCAGTGCTTGTGGGTGGGAAAATGGAGCCAGAGGCGTTGTTGAGACATGAAGGTGGAGGCAGGTGGTATGCCTTGCCACCTCTAAGAAAACTAAGAGTTGGAAGGAAGGGAAATATGTAAATGTCGACGCATGGATTAAAGCAGTATGTGCCATGTGTGCTGTCATGTGAAGTCAACTTTAGTACTTTGTCACCAAAGGAGGTATCATGTGATAAAAGACAAGGTGGCTGTGCTTTTAACTCTTCTTCTGGCTTCAACCATGCTCCGTGCTCCTATGTGGACATGCCCATGTGTCGGTGTGGTTGTCTCCTGGAGTAAGCCTGTGGGCAAACAGACACTCATCTGCAACTTTTACTCAATCATCTGCAGGCAGGTCCAAGCAGCCTGTCCAAAGCCAGGGTAGAATGTGGAGCATGGCCCCACTATATGTTACTTGCATGATATATCTTATGAAAAAAAAGCACTTTAATTACACACTCTCTCTCTTTTGGTGCAGAGGATCAGTGAATTTTTTTTTCTGAAAATAGAAAAGAATCTCAAAGGCATTGTCTATCATAGCATTGTTAAAACATCCTGTTTTTCCCCAGTTAATATTTGTTGATTTATTAACAATTATTAATAGCTATTGAGACACACTTGTTGAAATATAACCGAGTTTCAGGTCTAAAAAGGAAGTATCTTCACAACAGCTGCTGATGCTCAAGGCTGCATTTTGTGAGTACACATAATCAGAAATAGAAGAAAGCCCTTGGAAAAAGCAGATCCATATCATGCATCATGCCATCACCAGGAAGCCAGCTGAACCATAATTAAGGACTAGTTGTTGGACCAGCCTTGAATTCCTGAGGTTAATCAGGTGTGACAAGATTTGTAAAACTCACATGCAATGCAGCAGAAGAAACAAAGTGTACAGAGGTGTAAGAGACTTCTGGTGCTTTCAGATAAGGTTTTTCTAGTGCAATTATTGTCCCTTTGCTACATAATTTAATGGCGAGCTCTAGACCTTATCTTTAATGTGTAACCCTTCCAAGATTTCTTTTCACTGTGTTTCTGGTTCTTTTGCTTCCTACAGAACATGAATTAAGAGAAGAAAGAATAAAAAGGTGTACAATGTCTTTTGCTTGGTAGAGCCAGTCGTTGTTCATTTGAAGCAACTTTCACAGAAATGATTCCCATTGGAGTTTGCTGAAATGAAAGGGAGCTGTGTGGTCATTACAAAATGCAAACACAAGAGTAGGCGATACCTTTATAGACAATTAAAAGAAAAAAATCATATGACCAATTTTTAGTGGTCTATAAAGGTCTTGCCTATCCTTGCATTTGTATTTTGCAGTACCCCTTGACATTTTTATTCCAGTTGTGTCCGACTCTAGGGGGTGGTGCTCATCCCATTTTTCAAGCCATAGAGCCAGCTCTTGTCCAAAAACAGTTTCCATTGTCATGTGGCCAGCGTGACCAGGGAGCGCCGTTTTACCTTCCAACCAAGGTGGTACCTATTTATCTACTCGCATTTACATGCTTTCGAACTGCTAGGTAGGCGAGGAGCTGGGACAAAGCGATGGGAGCTCACTCTATTGCGTGGATTTGATCTTACAACTGCTGGTTTTCTGACCCTGCAGCAGAGACTTCTGCGGTTTAGCCCACAGCGCCACCATGTCCTGTTAATAACTACATAGTTCCCTTTTATTTCAATGGAATTATGAAGCTACCAAGTAGGAGCTGCTCTCGCCTGCACCAACAAAAAGACACATGGACTCTCAACATCAGAGGAGCAGGACTACAATCACTAGGTAATATTTTGACTTTAATCTGACCCTAATCAGCTAAAGCTAGTGTATTTTCTAAATTATCATCCCAGTTCCCAGATGGAAGACTTGGGGTTTCTGTGTCACCCTCCCAACCCAACCAATCCACCCAAGCAGAAACATATCAATTTCAAAGAAAGGCCAAATGAGAAGGTGTGTGTAGCATTCACCTGGGTCATTAATATTTATGTTGTGATTGGCATGCACCAATAGGAGTTGGTGAGGGGCAGAGTTATGTGGGAGAGAAGAGAGTAGGCGGTCGAGAGTGAAGAGAGAAGGTTGTTTAGTTGAGAGTTAATGATGTTGACTGAACTGTAATCACCTGTAACACTAAACAATTTCTACTTGAATGCTGTCCTCTGAAGATGCCGGCCACAGAGACTGGTGAAACGTTAGGAAGAACAACCTTCAGAACATGGCCAAAGAGCCCGAAAAACCCACAACAACCAATTTCTACTTGGTTCTTAAATGATACGTTGCCTGAACCTCTATCATTAATAGTGAATAATGTTGATGTAATCAACTGGTGGCAACTGAATGACACATTGCTTGTACCTTTGTTTGGTGAAACAACCAAGGTACAGGTGGGAACGTGACAGTGTGCATACACAGCCAGTGCCTCTTTGTTTGAAGAACTAGAGTGTGATATCCAATCCATAGCTGCCTCAAATGGAACTTTAAAGCAACAGCCCTAATGCAGCCTGCATCATTCCTGACTTACACCTGGAAAAGATGTGCCTGGCAAAATCCATTTTGTCAAGAACATTTGGATGTTACATCTAAAACTAATTTTCCTTGCAAAATCTGTCTTGCCATAAACTTTTGGATTTTAAATTCTTCACACAGGTACATGCCTGATGAAGTGGATGACCCTGATCCACAAAAGTTCACAGACTGTATGATAATTTTTTTCACTGGAATTTAACTAATGGTAATATGTCCTATAATGAGATTCAAAGAACAACTAGAGCAATCTCTAAACTAGAACTACTGTTGCTTTAGCAGAAAAAACAATTGGTGGGAAGCACTCTTTTGTTTGTCCAATCATGCTGCTGGTGTTTGAAATAGTGGCAATTCAGCTTTAATTTAATTAAACATTCAATTTTTAAGGTACTGGTACAAATCTATGCTAAATAAAACTTTTGTGTACAGGTCCAGCAAAATGAAAGATTGGATTGAAATGAAAGGGATAAAGCATATGGGTGGTGTTATGGGCAAGTGTGCACCACCCAAAATGGGGGAGTATTACCAAAGCTGGCTACATCTGTATACTGTGTATATACTTACAATGACAATAAACAAATAAAAATTAAATTAAAAAAATTGTACGGTTATGGGCAAGTGTGCACCACCCAAAATGAGGGAGTATTACCAAAGCTGACTACATTTGTATACTGTGCATATACTTACAATGATAATAAATTTTAAAAAAATTAAATTAAAAAAATTTGTACAACACCCCTGCTAATCCTCATCTGTGCTACAGCCTTTCTCGATGTGTGTCTGTGCACAGAGATGCTCATTCAGCTTTTTAGAAGTGAGACTGCTATGGGTGCCACAATCCAAGAACCAGAAGCAGCAACTAGAAAAATAAGGCCTTGCCAGTCAGATTATCAAACAGAAGTCCTGCAAGAACTAGAACATTTCAGGAAATATTAGTGCTGGGTAGCTCAGTGGTTTAGGTGTTTGACTGTGGAGCCAAAGATTAGGAGTTCAGTTTTTTGACAGGGCTTGGACTCCATAGGCTTCCTTCCAGCTCTGCAGTTCTATGATGATGATGATGAAGTAGTAGTAGTGGTGGTGGTGGATAAATGGTAGACTAGGATTCAAGTAGTAGTAGTAGTAGTAGTAGTAGTAGTAGTAGTAGTAGTAGTAGTAGTAGTAGTAGTAGTGGATAAATGGTAGACTAGGATTCAGAGGACATGGGTTTAAATGGGAACTCATGGGGAGGAGGTGGAACAGGTAAAACCACTTCTTTATGCATCTCACTTATCTTGAAAAGCCTATTAGGGTTGCTATAAACCAGTTCTGACTTGAGGGCATATAAAGTAACAAGTACTGTAATCCCACTCAGAGGAGTTTGCTTCCGCCACCTCTGTATGCATAAGATTTAGCCCACTCAA